CGCTCTGCGGGGTGGCCATCGGTCGGGCTGTCGCCGTGCGCAGCGTGTTCCTGCTCCTCGGGCCATCACCTCACTGGTTTCTCTGCCTCTTCCAGACAGACGGCGCCTCGGCAATTCTGCTCATGTCCGAGGAGAAGGCTCTGGCAATGGGGTACAAACCGAAGGCCTACCTGAGGTAAAACAGGGCTGCTCCGCGTGGCCGTGGGAGCCTGCGCTCGCTTCCCTCTGCTCTTCCCATTACTGACAGCGTTTCTCCTGCGCAGGGACTTTGTGTATGTGTCCCAGGATCCAAAGGACCAGCTGCTGCTGGGGTAGGTGGCAATGATGAGGAGCATCCCCTGACAGTCTGTGTGGCACAACAGCCTTGACTTGCCTTTACATGTTCGTTTTTTTGGGAAGTACCTCCCGGGATATCGCACCACTTCAGGCCTTCTCGCGGAGGTGCGAGAGCCGGGGTGCGAGGTGTGACTCAGCAGGGAGAGGTGGCTGACGTGGGAGGGCAGCAGTGGTGGAAAAACTCACCCTGATTTGCTGGGGGCCATCCCGGCGTGTTGGTACCAGCAGTAGTTCCCTGGGGTTGGGTTTCAGTTGGAGTGGGACGAGCTGAGAGTTGTGCCACGCACCCTATGGAGGAGGAACGGGACGTGGGTCGCTGTGGAAGAAGGGGAGGAGGATGGGAGGAAGGATACTCATGCAAAACTTGTGTTTCTTAACTCTCCCTCAGCCCAACCTACGCTACTCCCAAAGTGCTAGAGAAGGCCGGTCTGACCATGGCTGATATCGACGTGTTTGAGTTCCACGAAGCTTTTGCTGTGAGTACTCCGAAGGCTGAGGGGCCTCTAACGTGCAGAGCCGTTCCGTGGACACCCGTCTTCCTGTCGGTGACAGCTCTTGTTCAGAGCTTCGCTAAGTGCAGGGAGGTGTAACTCCACGTTTGCGTCTAAGTACACGTGCTGTGTGTGTTGTGAGTGGAGATCATTTCAACGTTAACGCAATCCATGCTCAGAGTGGCTGATGTTGCCTAAAGTCACCAAAGGAATGTGGATTCTTCAGAAACAATAAGTAAAAACAATAATCTTACTTTCCCAAGATCTTGTATGAGAGAAACCAGCATAGAACGCCAGAAGGGTTTGGGCGGGAAGAGACCTGAAAGCCCCCCCAGTGCCACCCC